AAGCATTTTCAAGATAATTTTAAAAATATTGAAACTATTAAAAGTATTTTGAAGATATTTTAAAAAGTTTGAAGCTATAAAAAAACGATTCTCAGATATTACAAGTATTTTAAGTATTTTAAAGGTATTTTTTAAAAACTTTAAGCTACAAAAAGTATTTCGAATATATTTAAGATTTTAAAAGTATTTTGAAGATGTTAAAAGTACTTCTAAAGTATTTTTAAGGTATTTTTAATAATTCTAAAATCGTCCAAGTAATTTGAAGGTATACTTAGATTTGTAGAGTATTTAAAGTTTTAGAAATTGTTTCTTTAATATTTTTCAGAATATTTTTTTAGCTCTTAAAGAAAGCACGTTTTTGTTAAAATTATGACGTTTTTTCACTCAATTAAAAATAAAGAGACATAAAATGTCAAATCGTTTAGTGTATATAATATTATGAAAATCCCATGAGTTTAGTGTAAACAATTTATTCATGTGGGTCAAGAAAATCATGATTTGTTGCATAATAGTTGCAATGAGGTGTGGTCTCTTTTTCAAACGATTAAACTATCAGTGTATCAATTACAAGTTGTCATTTTTGTTACAAACGCAATTATTTTATACAATTTCGATTTTTTCTTTAATCAATCTACAGTTAATTTAATCAAATTTAAAATAAAAATTTTATTACTTCAATCTTTTTTACTTCACATATATTGCTTTTTTTATGTCAAATGAAAAACCTATCCTTCTATATATCAAATTTCGAGTTACAATTTACTTTTTATACAATTATTATTTTCTACCAAACTATTAATTAATTTTATTAATTTTATAAATAATTATTTTTAGAAGAAGAATTATTATTAATTATTATTAATTATTATTAATTATTATTAATTATTATTAATTATTTTTAGAAGAATGGAATAAAATATTGTATTCTCTGTAAACGATTATTATTCTTTTATATTTAAAAAATATTTTTTTCTTAATTATTTTTCAAGCAGATGGAATTTTTTTCTAGTCCAGTAATATATCGAATTTGATTGGTTTAAAAAGAAAGTAGAAGAGGATCGAAATTTTAAGCCCCTGTATATTGACAACCGGTTGTTATTGGGACGAATTACTACATTCACAAATTTCTTAAAGTTTTCATTTTAAATTAAAAACATAATAGTCATAAAAATAAAAAAATTCTTTAAGATCGATTTTAAACATATTTTTTTGCTCTTTTAATTTTTAATTTTAAAAAAACGATTTTTGCCCATATTTTTAAAAAGTAATTCAAGTTTTGCCTTTCTTTCATTACACTTGTTGAGTTTTTCATGTTTTTTTTTTATTTTAGTTTATAAAATGAAAATTAATAATATACTCGAAGGGTTATGGACCCTTTAAAGTTAAGAAAATTCAGAAATTTTTCAAAAATTAACATTTTTGAAATCGTTTATTTAAATTCTTATTTATAACTATGATTGATATTTTTTACAGCCCTGTTTGCTTAAAATATACCAAAGTTTTAAAAGTTTTTTAAAATTGATTTTTTGGAAATTTTTGAAAAAAATCGTTGACTATCTTTTAAAATATTTAATAATCTTTAAGAACATTTCAAAACGCATCGATTGATGCATTTTAAAACCTTTTTTTAAATATATTTAAAATTTATTATAGTTTCAAAAAATGAAAATTTTAGATCCTTTTTTTAAAAAATATGACAAATTTATTAAAGTTTAAAAAAATCAAAAACATTCAAAAATTGAACTTTTTGAAATTTTATTTAAAAAATTGATTTCTAAATAATATTCTTTTACACAAAATTAAAGAACATTTCAAAACGCATCGATTAATAGTTTAGACCTTGTTTTAAAAAAAAGTACGTAGAGCTTATTAAAGTTTTACAAATAAAATTTTTTCCAAAATTTGACTTTTTAAAATTTTCCCAAAATAAACGTAGCCTAACTTTTAAATTATTTATAACTACACTTGAGAACCTTTCAAAACATATGAACTGATCAATTTAGAATTCTTTTGTTAAAATAAACTAAAGTTATTGAAGTTACAACAAAAAAAATGTTTTTTAATTTTTTATTTTGCTTCCAAAGTTGTAATTCCTGCATAAGAGAAATTAAAGTATTTAATGACAAATGTACTTTCAAAAAGAAGAAAAAAATTAAACAATGTCAAAATAAATCCAAAGATACTACACAACTTTGTAAGGCGGATTTTTTTTTCATTTTAATTTTTTTATTCGCATTCGGAATAGCTTTCCATTTCTCCGTGCTTGTACTCCTGAGAAGAGCAGGTCTTCGGATCGAGTTTTACTCTATAAGAGCCAAGATTTTGTCCTCGGAATTGTTCACGGGTATATAACTTTCTATCTAAAAAAAGGAAAACGATATATATGTATAATCTGCATAGTTTTCTCGTTGGCGCCAGCAGAGAAATTGAGACGATGCTTCATTTCATTTAATTGCCACATTTTCCGTTGGAAATTAGATTCGAGGATGCAAAATAGTGTGTCTCACTCTTTCTTTCCCTCCCTCTCTCTTTTTTTTCTTCAATGTATCGAAAACAACAAACATTTAATAAACAAGGTCTTTTCGATTTTTCCTGTTTATTTATTTTTCTCCTTTTTAAATTGCTATTTTTAACACACCATGACACTCCTATAATAACTTGTTTATAAAATTATAAATGTGCATATTACTCAATGTATAATTTTATACGCACTTTTCCTGTCACCCATTCTTGAAGTAATTTTATTTTTTCTAAATGTTTCATTTTCAACAATTTTATTCGTTTATAATTAAAATTTTCCCTTTTTTCATTTCTATCGTTTCTATTTAAGTATTTAATGATTTTTTGACATTTATAAGCATGCGTAGAAATTTATACACTCTATTGATTGATTAAAAGCGCATGCGCAGAATTTTAGATTCTATTCAATTATTTACAGCGCATGCGCAATAGTGTATAACCTATAAATTCATTAAAAACGTTTAAAACGCATGCGTAAAAAATAGAATATTAATATTACGTTTATTGCCAACTTTATAAAAATAAAAAGAAGAAAAAGTGATTTTCAACTAATACAGAATCTATCAAAAAAAATCTACAAACGAAACTGAATCACTTTTAATTAGTTAATATATGTAGTAATGATGTTATCACTCGGTCGATAAATTAATTAGTTAAAATAAATTTAAATTTATTTAATTTAGTTAAATTAGTTTTAAATATTAATTAGTTAAATATGTAATACATTAAAATTAATTTTTTATAAAAAATAATAATTAATAAAATTCACAAAAAAATGAAATTTTATAAAAATTCAGTAAAAATGTTATAAAAATATTTTCTATTTTATTTCAATATTTTCAAAGTATTGAAAAATTTAATAACTACATCAAAATGGATAAAAAATTTCAAAATTTGCCATATAATAAATTTTTACACAGTAATATAGTTTTTCTATAAATTCTATAAATTTTATAAATCTTAAAAAAACAATATAAAAATAAATAAAATTAAAGATATAAAAAAATCAATTTATAATAAAAATCCATATTAAGATCAATTTAATAAATTGAAAGTCATTTTTCAAATTAATAAATGTCATGAAAGAGAAATAATCAAATTCTGTTGCTGCATGTGCATAAATATTTCTCATCAAGTGTAAAAAAACGTATATATATATATTTTTTTTAATGCAAATGATTTTTGTCAAAAAAATATCACACCCCAAAAAAGAAGAAAAACTCACCCTCTAATAAATTCCATACTTGATCTCAATATTTGTTGATTGGAAATGTAGAGAAAATGACACTGAGCGCAAGAACCAGAGGGGAAACACTAATCAAATTCAACCCTCGACAAAACTATCTCGTGTATACAAAAAAATGTGCTTCAAATGCGGAAAAACTACTACTCGATTTCTAATAATTTTTTAAATTTAAAAGAAAGTGGAAAAGTAAATAAATTATTCTTGTAGCAAAATAAAATTTTCCAATGCAAAAATCGACTAAACTCCACCACAGAATAATTTTTATTTTATAAAAATATTCATAAAATTTTATATTATGAAAAAAAATTTTTAAAGACTATAAAAATAAAATGATTAATCAATGAAAAGTAATTTTTCTTTTATTTAATTGTTCATTTTGGATTTTAAATAAATTAAATTTTTTTAATTTCTTCATAACCTTTGGCCTCAAAAGTTTTTAAATATTTGATCTTTAATAAATCAATAGAAAAATAAGTATTTATTTTTATTTGAAAATAAATATCGTTGCTTAGCAACAAAAACACGTGTGACAAAAACACGTAATAACAATTTCTCCACAGCCAATGTGCAATTTATTGGAGTAAACGTTGAACAATAGTGAAACAATAAGGTAGAAAATAAAGTAAAGTATTAAAAAAACTAAAATGGTTAAGAAAAAAATTTTAAAAATTAATTTATTTAAAATCCAAAATGAATAATTAAATAAAAGAAAAATTACTTTTCATTTATTTATTATTTTATTTTTATAGTTTTTTAAAATTATTTTTTAATATTATTTTACTTTTAAGTTTTTTTATTTGTTTATTTAATCTAAGACATCCAAAGTTATAGTTAGACTTATACGTTTTGCTCTAGCTGGGGTACTAAATTATCCCAAACTTGTTTCGCTGCTGAAAATTTTATATTTATTCAAAAATAAGTTTTCGTTTTTGTTTTTTAATAAGGAAAAGAATTACTATTTTCGATATCTTAAAAAATGTGGTCAAAAAATTGAAAAAGCCAAATGTAGTTCATTAAATTTCCACCTAGGTGTCATAAAAATTCGCTCACAAGTGAAATAAATCAAATAGAGTACCTACAGGTACATTTTTTTATTGAATTTTTTACTGAATCTTTTATTAAATAATTTTCTTTCTCTTTTGCAGAAAACCAAAAATAATGAAACTACGAATATTATTTTTCATTTTCATGAAAATTTGTCTAAACTTAACTACCTCATCAGTGATAAACCAACAAGAGGGAGAATTATCAAAATGGACTGAAATAGTAATAAAAAATTGGAGTTCTGAACAGACCCCCTCACATCATGTTAAAACGTAATTCAACCAATCATCCAATCGATATTTCCGGTCCCGATGCACAAGTGGAAAAACTATTCTCCGAATTTTTAAACTACAAACAAGTATTCATACCCTCGAGTGAAGAAGATTTCGGTAATTTTGCCTGCAGTGTGGACAAACTAACAGGTTTTGCTTTCCTAATCCAAAAAAACGAAATTCAACTCTACAGTATCACGGCAACAACAGTGAAATTTATCTGCAAGACAGAAATTTATGAAAACAAAATTTTCGATCTAGATCCCTACGTTGCTATCACACCTCTTCTAAAAACAAAAAATTATTCCATCACAATTGGCAAAAATTTTTACTACTCAATTCTCCTAGCACTCTCACTGACACTAATCAGCAGAGTAATTGTCAAAATCTTTCACTTTGATTCGTCGACAAATTGGAACTGGACCATAATCATCAGCATTATATTCGGAGTGACAATAAACCAACAACCTTGTGAACAAAAACAACGAATTATATTCTTCTCCTTCTTGATAGTAAACTTCTACTATTCATTCAACATATTTCTCTCGTTAACAAATTTTAATCTACGCCCCGAGGAACAAAGAATTATAAATACAATTAATGACCTTATAAAAAGTGATCTTCAATTCAGTTCAGAAGCCGGTAAGACAAAAACAATGCTACATGTATGATTAATCAAAATTCCTTTACGAATTGGGTGAAAAACGGTCGTTTAACAACACCCGAAGAGTGCGTGGAATTATTAATAAAAAATAGGAACATAAGCTGTATTATGAGATTGTCACAAGCGAAATGGTACGTCGATTTTTATAGGGAAAGAAATTTAGTGCAGTTTGTCGAGGAATTTATCTACACTGTTGGTATTGGCTATTATCTTGAACCTGGTTCTCCGTTCGTGGAGAAATTTCAACAAGTACATAGAGTACTGATGGAATTTGCATTATTGAAAGAGGGGAAAATGAAAATTTTGGCAAATCCTACAGAGCACGAAGAGGAGAAAAAAAATCACAAAATGATAATAATGATCATTGGAAAGTACTTTCGTTAATGATTGGAGTATTAATTTCCGGTTATTCAGCATCAATAATTTCGTTTCTTCTCGAAATTACCATTGGTGAGTCGATGTATAAGATTTTATCAAATTTCCATTTTCAAATGGACAAATTTTTTAAAAACATTATTTCCATAATCTCGAAAATTTGTTCTCTTGTTCTGATTAAAATTTCCAACTTCTATAAATTAATAAAAAAAGAAATTTCGATTTTTTGGAATTTAATTTTTTTGTTATACTCAAAAATGATTTTCAAAAAGTTATACAACACGTTTTTTTGGAACTTTGCCCACAGTTTTTTCAAAATTCTGACAAGATAGACAATTTCGTGAAACGGATTCGTGTTCAGAGGACAAAAGTACATTGAAAACCACACCGATATCATAAATAACGAAAAAAACTTTTTTTTTGGGTTTTACCCCCACTTTTCACAAAATACTCACTATTTTTTTTAATTTTTGACATGGGAGTCGTTTTTAATGAAACTACACTTTAAGTCCCAAAAAAGACCCAAAAAATAGAAAATTTTGAAAAAAGTGGGGGTAAGACCCAAAAAATTTTTTTTTTTATTTTTGACATGGGAGTCGTTTTTAATGTAATATTAGCCAGTGAACGCGATCCTGGGATCAAAAATTAACAAATATGTCAGGATTTTGAGAAAAGTGGTGGTTAAAACCCAAAAAACGTGAAATTATAAACTTTACCCCACTTTTCTCAAATTCCTCCATTTTTTTGGTCTTTTTTTTAAAAGATATTTTTTGTATTCAAGTTGACTATTTAGAGATTTCTATGAGGTCTCAAAGTAAGATTTGAAAACTACACTTTAAGACCCAAAAAAGACTAAAAAACTTGAACGGTTTTGAAAAAAGTGGGGTAAAGAACCAAACATTTTTTTTTATTTTTGACATGGGAATCATTTCTAATGTATTTTTGTCCGCTGAACAGGACAGTGAGTTCCGAAATTGATTAAAATGTCAGGATTTTGTGAAAAATGGTACTCAAAACCCAAAAACTGTGAAATTAGATACTTTACCCCCTCTTTTCTCAAGATCCTCTAGTTTTTTTATCTTGAACATATGGGTCATTTTCGAAAGATATTTTTTCTGTTAAAGTTGGCCTACTAGAGATTTCTATGAAGTCTTAAACTAATAATTAAAAACTACACTTTAAGAACTAAAGAAGACAAAAAAATTGAGAATTTTAAAAAAGTGAGGGGTAAGACCAAATTTTTTTTTTTATTTTTGACATGGGAGTCGTTTCTAATGTATTTTTATCAGCTGAATGCGACCCTGGGTTCTAAAATTTAACATCAAGTCAGGATTTTGAGAAAAGTGGTGGTCAAACCCAAAAAACGTGACTTTAGATTCTTTACCTCCAATTTTCTCAAAATCCTCACATGTTAGAAAATTTTAGAATCTGACTGTTAGCTGGTTTAACCCTTAAACTGCACACTGGGTGTTTGACACTAAGGATAAAATATCACTCTAATAAAATTTATTTTTTTATGAAAATTTTAATTAAAAATAGTTTCAATTCGTAAAAATTGTACTTAACTTTATGTTTCATTAACTATACATTATAGTCACACTCATTGTTCCAAAAGATTAATTTTAAAATACGAATTGCTAATTAAAAGTAATTTTTGCCTAAGTACAAAAGCAATACACGAAAAGCAATTGTTTCTTTTAAAAAAAGGCAATTTTTGCCTTAGTTAATAAAGTAACAAATTCTTGTTATTTATCAAGTAAATTGTTTACATATGTCAAATCGAATTTTATAATTAATTAAAATATGGGTACTAAAGGAAGAAATTTATTACTGAAATGGAATCGAGAAAATTTTTTTGAAATATTTAAAGGTACTAATTTCATTTGTTTAATAAAATTGTTTAAGCATGAAACTAGACCAGTTTGGTTATAAAATTCACACATGCATAACTGTTATTGAAATTGATAAAGTAGTTCTATTATTTTCTTTATTTAATTAAAGTAAAATATTATTTATATAATAATAAAAATAAAAGTTCCTTTTCACTCATATTGTAAATATAATTAATAAAAAGGTAAAATATAATTATTTCATATCGTATTTTCTAAATATTCAAATAAAAATTTGTCTTGTGATTTTAACCTTATTAACTAAGGCAAAAATTGCCTATTATTTTTTTCAGTGTATGGTAGTTGTGATTTTTTACGTAAGAAAAAATTTCTTCACGTTTTTAGGGTTCCGTACACCTACGGTGTAACGGCGGAACCCTATTGGTGAGACTCTGTTGTCCGTAGCCAAATCGTGTCCCCCCCCCTAGCGGCTAAACTATTTGACCTAAAGAGCTCAAATTTGGTCCAGATATGTATTTTCACTCGTAGATTACAGGAAAAATATAGCGAATGTGATTGGACGTAATGGTCATAGCGTTGTCAAGGAAATAACAAGATTTTTGGCCAAAAATGCATAAAAAGTGACCATTCCCCCCCCCTTAACTTCTAAACTATTCGACATGGAGAGCTGAAATTTTGCATGCTGGTGTATTTTTACTCGAATATTACAGGAAAAATATAGAGAACTTGATATGTAATGATGGCCATAGCGTTGTCAAGGAAAAACTAAAAAAATTTTAAAAAAAAATTTTTTTTCTCTAACTTTTACATTATTTGACCTAATGAGCTGAAAATTGGTATCCTAGTGTATTATTACAGTCTGACGACAAAAAATTTATTTAAGAAACTTTTTGAAAAAAAAATCAAAAAAAATTTTTTTTTAATTTTTTTTTCAAAAAAAAAAATTTTTTTAAATTTTTTTTAGTTTAAACACGTGGCATTAAATATTTTAAGGAAGAGAGTGAAATTTTAAGAGAATAAATGAGAGATTGTTTTCTGACTTTAATTTCTTAACTAAAAAAAAAAAATTAGACAAGTGCGAGTTGTACTCGCACTGCAATGGCGGGTTCCGTACACAAATATTAAAACAATACTTGCAACATTTATCGGTAATTAGTAGAATTAAAATAAACAATTAAAAACATATATTAAAATCATTTGATAAAAAAAATAACTAAAAAAAATTAAAGTATTGTATATCTAATATTGTAAACAATAATAAGCAGAGGAACTATAATTTTTAAAATTTTGTTCCTCTGCTTATTATTGTTTACAATATTAGATATATACAATACTTTAATTTTTTTAGTTATTTTTTTTATCAAATGATTTTAATATATTTTTTTAATTGTTTATTTTAATTCTACTAATTACCGATAAATGTTGCAAGTATTGTTTTAATATTTCTGTACGGAACCCGCCATTGCAGTGCGAGTACAACTCGCACTTGTCCAATTTTTTTCGATTTAGAATTTTTTTAAATTATTAGAATTTAAAAAAAAATATCATGAAACCTTTCTCAAAAATGAATATACTGAGCAACCTAAAGTAATTATGTTGAAATATAATATTCAATTTTAGCTTAAAGAATTCACTTTAATGCCTGGGTGTCAAACACCTAGGGCCTTAGAAAGAAATCTATATGTATATATTTAAGTGTTAATTTTCTAAGGGTTAAGGGTTTTACTTTTAAAGGTGAAAGTAATGGTTAAGGGTTTAAGTAAAGTTTAAGTTTTAAAGGTTAAAGTATGAATTAAGAGTTTAAATTTTTAAGGGTTAAAGTAATGGTTAAGGGTTTAAGTTTTTAAAGGTTAAAGTAATGGTTAAGGGTTTAAGTTAAGTTAAAGTTTTAAAGGTTAAAGTATGGGTTAAGGGTTTACGTTTTTAAGGGTTAAAGTAATGGTTAAGAGTTTAAGTTTTCAAGGGTTAAAGTAATAGTTAAGGGTTCAAGTTTTTAAGAGCTAAAGTAATGGTAAAGGGTTTAAGTTTTTATGGGTTAAAGTAATGGTTAAGGGTTTAAGTTTCTAAGGGTGAAAATAAGGTTTAAGTAGGTTTAAGGGTTAAAGTTAATTTTAAGGGTTAAAGTACTAATTTTTACTCAACTAAATTTTTATTATTTCAGGTCATCTTCGGACAAAAGGCATAAAGTGTTTAAATTTCTTCTAATTTCGATTCTAATTAGAAAGCACAAAGACAATTTTTTAATTTTACTCAGCGTGGAGATAAAAATCTAATTCTAAGTACATTTTATATATATATATATATATATATATATATATATATATATATATACAAAAATACATATTTATATTTATACATCAAGTGGGGTTGAAAACGCTCCTTTAGGAGGGTTAATGTGCGCAAAAGCACAGCTTCATTTTGGCAGTAGAACGCATGTACAGAACTCGATGTTCCATGTGATTTTTCCCCGTATTATATCGAACGCAGGAAAACTCTCGCAGTTGATATTAAGCGTAAAAAGTAGTAGTAGTAGAAAAAGAAGAAGAAGAAGAAGAAAGAAGTAGAAGAAGTGGAAAAAAGGTGTTTGTAGTGATAGTGTCATATGTTATATATTGCACTTAGTAGTCATCGACAGTATAGATGAACGTTTTGCCATCATCGACAACGTATGGACTCAATGATTGACTTTCCAAACGATTTTGCAATTATAATAACAGGAAACGGTGACCTTGCACACAGTCCGGTATAATTATATTTTTATTGTCAATTTTTGGTCAGTCGCCTTTAACACTGACAGATGGACATACTCGTTATTTTCTTTTCATATTTTTTTTCTTTCATTTATCTGTTATTTTTATTTCGTGTTCGGGAAAACAAAAAATTGTCCATTTTTTGATTATTTATAATTTATCACATTATTCTTTTGTTTTAACTTTATATTTTTTTTCTCTTATTTTCTTAAAATTTTTTTTTTCATTTTTTAATATTGTCCAATTTATTTTAAGATTTTTTCTCCCTTTATTTCGATACTTTTTGGTTTATTTTAATATTTTCTGTTTTATTTTAATATTTTTTCTTTTATTTCAATAATATTCCTTTTATTTTAATATTTTTTCTTTTAATATAATATTTTTTGTTTTATATCTCAATACTTTTTATATTAAATTCAAAAATTTTGGTTCTATTTTAATATTTTGTTTTATTTTGACATTTTTCGTTTTACCTTAAAATTTTTTGTTTTATTTTAATTTATTTGTTTTTCTCCAATGCTTCTCTTCCTAAATATATTTTTTCTGTTTTTTTTTGTTTTGTTTTCATTTTAATTTTTTAAATGTTTTAAATGCTCAGTGGAAATATTTTTAAATATTTGTTGTTATTGTTATTTTTGTTGTTGTTGATATTTTATTGCTTCACTAAGTGCAAATAATTTTTCATTGTCGATGGATTATTATTGGGATGAATGTATCCTTATTTTAGAGGTATATTAATCATGGATTATTTTTATGAAATGAATTTATCATTATTTTTGATATGTATTAATCTTAAAGATATTTATCATTTTTTTCTTAGGTGGGAGGAAATAATATTTTTTCCTAATGAATGTGCTATTTCTGTCATTATTTATTTACATACGTATTTAAATAATTAAAATATTAATTAAAATATAAATTAATATTTTTTCTTTTTAAGTTTTTATACTTTCATTTATTATTATTTTGATATAATTTATTATTTTATCAAAAACGTGGCTTTTAATATTTTATTTGTATTTTTTTATTACTTTTTACTATTAACTATATTTTTTATAGTTTTTTATACTTTCTTATTTTTTACTTTTTACATTTTTTTTTATTAAATTTTTTTATTACTATCATTTCTTTTAAAATAGTATGTTATAATGTTCAAGTAATAATTATTTTAAACGATAGCATTTTGATAAAAAAAATACGTACGTAAGTAAATGGTTTCTGGTTTGGTTTTTATTGTTAGCCTGTTGTTAAAACAGTTTTTTATTTTATTTTAAAAAGTTCAAAATCCAACAAATCAATTACTAATCTAATTAATAACTTTTTTCTAATTTCAGTAATTTTTTTCTGTAAAATTCTAGTTTTTTCTGTTTTTACTGACAGAATCCAATTTATATTAATACGTTATCGAACTCACTAAAAAGCAGTGATTAATTATTTAATCCTGAAAGGATCACCGCCACTCAGGATATATCGTTCGATCGATCCTAAATTTTTGTACAAAAAAGAGAAAAAAGCAATAACTTAAACTCACAACTGAAAATGACTAAACATTGTTAGTAATTGTGACGTATATTATACAAAACCGAAATATTATAAAAGTATGATAACGAAAAACATTGTAAATTTTTTATATCTCTTTAATAAAAATGTTTAAATGAAAAGAAAATTAAATTAACAACAATCAACTTCCGTTTGTCGTTGACTTTAAACACAATAAAAAAATTTTTCATTTTAATAACAAAAAGAATTTATTACTAATATTTAATTAAACAAAACTCAATTGAAGAAATTTTAATTAATAAAAATCCAATCGATGAAATTTTAATTAGTGAAAATCCAATCGAAGGATTATGCTCATAAAATTCAATCGAAAACATTTTAATTAATAAAAATTCAAACGATTAAATTTCAATTAGTGAGGAAATCTATTCCAATGAAAATTCAATTAGTAAAAATGCAATCGTTGCCATTTCACTTAGAAAAACTTCAATCCATGCAATTTTAATTCATTTTCTTCAATTCAGTTCAAATTTCAATTTTAATAGACGAAACTAAAATTGAATATATTAATTAATTTTAGTTAATTCTAATTAATGATAAATATCAACAAAAAAACTAAGTCTAGAAATGAAACTTGAATAAAAATATTATTGTAATTAATATTACATTAATAATTATTTTTATTTTCACTTAATTCGCTTTTTTGTAAATCTAAAAAAAAGGCGCGAAATTTAAATTTCGCGCCAATATTGTTCTGTGACTGTCCGACAGATGGCAGGGGAAATTAATCGTTCATAATCGATATGAAATAAACGGGGTATAAGATTATCAGAGTAATTTCGAGAATTTAATTTACTTTTAAATGTACGTAATAAAGAATAATATTGTTAATATTAATAATAATCTAATAATTATTAGTATAAAGATAATAATTATTTCATTATTACAATTCTTTATAATTACTGTAACATAAACTTTTAAATAAAAAGACTATTATTATATTTTTTATTACATTTCTTATTATATTTCTATTATTAAATTCCTATTATCATAATTTTTATTATTTAGATAATATTTTTAAAAATTATCAATTTTCTAAATTATAATATAAAAATTAGAATTATAATAATGTAAGGAATAATAAATAAAATCAATTTTATTTTTTGTGCAAATAAAATTTCTCAATCTGCTTCCATCGAACAACTACAGGGGAGAGAGAAAATTGATATCTATTTACTCGCTATAAGTACCTAAATAAATTTGATAAAAATAGCAGAAAGTAAAAAATCCCTTCTCGTAGTATTTCCTATTCTTTTTTCACTCGAATTGATATCTAACATTTTAATCAAATTGAACGCTTATCAGGGATAAGGAACGATTTTTACTATATATATATATGTAGTAAAAAATATATATGTATGTACATATAGTAGAAAAAAATAAATATCCGAATTATTCACGCACCTAATTTTGACGCACGTAAACACTACATTAATTTCTAATGCACGGATGCTGTTTTCCTCTATATTTTTATTTTTCGACAAAAATAATTAAGGGACATATTTTTCACCCTACTTGTATATACAAAGTATACTACTTTTCCAATGCAATATAAACAAAAGAGAGATTTTCTGTTTTTTTCTTGTTTTTGTTACAAATACAGTATTCTTTCAATTCATTGAATTTTTTGCACGGGAATGTTCTTCTTATGTAAATTTTTCCACTTTATATTGTAAATATATGTGCGCAGTAAAATGAATTTCAATCAATATTGGAAAATTAGAGAAATGTACTCTTGCTTTTGTTTATTTATTTATTTATTTTGTTTTGTTTAAGGTAAACATAAATTTTCAACAAACAAACATGGAGGACATGGAAATTGTGAATGATAAAACAATAAACAATAGGAGGGGACTGTCGATGATGTATTTTTCTATTGCGAATGAAAAATTTTTGGATGATTGACGAGTTCCACATGATGCTTAAAAAAAGGTAATTTTTTATTGTTTTAATTTATAATTTTACTAATAACTTATACCTAATAATTTATTATTTATTTATCTACTATTTTTTTCTTTACTATTTTGTTTATTTAGTACTTTATTAATAACGAATAAATAATGATCTATTATTCATATACTATTTAATTTTTTATTATTATATTTATTTATTGCGTTATTTATTTACTTGCACAATTTTGCTAATGTCCTTCTACAGATGTAAATAAATAAAAAATTATCAATTTTTTTTAAAGAATATAATAAATTTTTGCAATAAATGATAAAATAAAATAATAAATAAATAAATAAATTCGTTAATAAATAAATAAGTAAATGAAGAATAGGTTAATAAATAATAATTAAATAAACAAATATGTTAATAAGTTAATAACAAAATAAAGATCACACAAAATTTTATTGCTTTAAACATTAAATAATAGTTATTTATTTATTTAATCATATAAATAAATGAAAACTAAATATTTATTACTTTATTTTATTTGCCTATTACTCTTATTTATTCGATAAAAAAATGTAATAATAATAATTTAGTAACTGAAACTACTAAATGAAAATGAAACTTGTGTCGAAAATTCTGAGAGTGAAATTATAAGAGGCAAGTTTAGTTCTATATATTTAATTACAGAAGAAGGGTCAATATTTGTGAATTGAGGATAATAAAGGTGAATGGATGCTTGTCATGTACATCTAAAAACAATAATAAACGAGAACAATAAATTTCAAATAGGGGGGAGGAGGAGGAGAATTTACTTCAAAACCAGATTAATGAAATCGATTAACAATAATGAGATATATAGAGAACTAAAAATAAAACCTATTTTCATAAACGTTTTCATTAAATTTTATCCCATCATCAATAAATTATCCCCCCCCCCTCCCAGGCCCAAATCATTTCGAATTGAACGCAATTAAATATAATTTATCTATATTTAGTAAATTAAGTAATTAAATTAATTAATAAGAATTAAATATTATTATTTATCTATATTATAGTTAAATAATTAAATTAATTAAATATTATTTATGTATATTGGTTAGAATAATTTTAAAAAAAATAAAATTCTGAAAACTTTTTTGCTGCTTTGTAAGCCGTACTTTTTAATACAATAGAGTGTCTTTTGCTATAGAGACTATTATTGATATATATTTTACATAACGTATAAAACCTAATAATAACCTTAATAATAAACGAATCCTTTATCCTAAGGAAACAGTAAATAAATAAAAATAAACTTCTTTTTTATTTTTTTCTTTCGTATACGAACCTAACCTATAAAATCTATCAATTTTAAAACAAAAATGTTTATTGTAGGAAAACAAAAGAAAAATAAAAATCCATCTTTCCTCAAATTTCGTTCCTGCGAATGTAAAAATGGAAAACATTTTTAAAAAAAGTAAAACGAAGATAAAAAATCATTTTTTTCACAATATTTAGAAATTACGAGGGACTTTTAATATTAATTAACGAAAACGATACTTTATGTGACAGCATTTCCCATATTGCGGGGTCAAAGTGCCTTCGATAACTTTTGATGAAAATTTACTCTCCCAAGAGAGTGAAATTAAGAAAAGTGGGAGAAAATGCGGAAGAGAAGGAGATAAAACTAATAAGATAAAAGGAGATGGAAAAAGTTCTTCTTGAGCAACAATTTGCCAATATTCTCCTATTGCCCTCTCTTTTTCTCACTCTCCAACCCCACCCTTCTCTCTTTTCGCCATTTGTGCTCTTCCTCTTCTCTAGTCACAAACTTAACGAAAAGGTACCACCACCCTTTTAGCCTCGAAAGACTCCCAAGAAAACTGGTCCAGTTTCGCGTTTACTATTGACGAAAAACTTTCCTTCAAAACGTTTTTCTCTTTCGTTCACTAAATCCCCAAACAATTTTGAACAAATAACAATTTTTTCTATTTTCAATTTTCCTCGATTTTTATCCAGCGAAATGCTTCTTTTTTCTGATTAAAAAATTTTAAAAGTAAAATTATTTTTAAATTTGAAAACTAAAAAAATAAGTAAATCTTATTTTCGAAAAATAATGAAAACACAATTCAAAAAGAAGGGGGTAGTTAAGAAAATAATTGAAATTTTTTAAAACGGTAAATATTTCAAAATGAGAAGTGAAATTTTGTTTTTTAAAATATTTTGTAAATTATTTTATTAAAATGTTTTTTAAAATGTTCTTTTTAATATTAAACGTAATTTATCATGACAAGAAAAATATTAATATTGAAAAATAAATTTTTGAGTTAGAAAAACAATTTTTTTTATAGTGACAGTGAAAAAAATGTTTAGTAACATAACATAAGAGACAATGTTTGTTGCAGGATAACGATTGTTTTATATTTCATTGACCCTAAATAATATATTTCTTCAGTGTCATTAATTTAATTCCCTAATTTATTCGCGCAATTAAATTCTTTCATTTTAATCATTTTCCCTATGAAGTTTAATTATTTCTTAAATTAATTTCTTGTTGCAATTAATTATTTAATTCAAGTTTAAGTAATTAGTCAAGGTAATTAAATAATTATGTTTTAACAAATTATTATATTGTTTTCAATAATATGATTAATTAGTAATTAATTTTTAATATAAAATTGTTGTTAAAATAAATAATCGTTAAATTATTTTTATCACCCAAGGTGGGAAAGTTAACGTTAGCTAATGATACTAACGTTAGGCTAACGTTAGACTAACGTTTGGTTAACGTTAACGTTAATTATTAAACTACTATTTTGAAATTATTAATTAGTTAATCATTTAAATTAGTGATTAATTATTTATTTTCAATTAACAATTAATTTTTAATTTAAAATTACTGAATAACAAATTTAATTTTTGTAAAATAACTGTTTAAAGAAGTAAAATAAAAAAAATAAAGTAATTAATTAATTATTAATTAAAGTAATTATTTATTAATTAAAGTAATTAATTATTAATTAAAGTAATTAATTAGATTAGAAATTATCAGATAATTAAAATTACAATTTCGATTCTCTTTTATTTGTTTCTATATTTTATTTATTTTATAAATTTTTGGGGTTGAAATTTATTGTATAAAGATAATTAAGTACTTCTGGTTGTATATGTGTAAATATTTAATAATTGTGACATAATAAATCAAATTTAATTCAAGAGTGAAAAAACTAAATATTGACATTATATTAACTGTGTCTCAAAAAGGGTGTTTGTTTAAGGATATTTTTCTAGTGACTCTTACTTTTGCTTCAACGTGATTGCAATTATATTAATAGACGTGCAGATGTGAATGTGAAATTTAATTTATAAATGGACACTTTCCCTTATAAAAATAGAGAGGAATCTAATTTGTTCAGCTCCCCACTGTTTTTCCTTTTTAGCATTAAAAACAAATCCCAAAACGTTATATTTATCATTTTCATAAGTCTCTTTCATTTTTTTAAATTAGCATAATATAATTATAATAATAATATAACAATAATAATTACTGATTTAATTATTTTTATTATTATTATTATTATTACAAATTAATTATTATAATTTTTATAATTGTTATTGTTAATTAATTACTATTATTATTATTATTATTATTTCAGTTTTGGTTTTTATTCCATTTTTAATAACAAATTTTTTTATTTATATTAACAACAATAATTTTGTATTAATATAATATTCAAAGTAAAATGAATTTTTTTACAAAAATTTCTGCGTACCAACAATTTTCTAATTAAATTTTAAAATCAACGCGACACAAGGAAGAAAGAAAATTATTTTTTTATGTAAAATTGTAAAGTGTTATTTTTTTGAAAAATTTTTTCCCAATCTCAATAATAAAATTATTTTTAAGTGACAATTCGAGGTTGTTACTTTGTGTACTGCATATTCACAAACAATATTCCTACGTGATAAAAATATCGAGAAGACTAATAATAACTTAAAGTTTTTCTTATAAGGACGTCTGATTTTAATTCAAATAAATGACCAGTTGCTCGACTTCTTCTTTATCAATTTTTTTTTACTTTCAAACCTGAGGTCAGTGATCATATGTTGCAACGCGATGAACCTCTCAAAATAAAAACTGAATAAATAAATTTTGTCTAAACTTTTTCAAATATGAAAAAAAAATTGTTTGGTGCTCGCTTTTCAGAATTTTTGCAGTTAACGAATTAAAAAATTGAGTAAAAAGAGAATAAAAATTAATTAGTAATTTAATTAAATTTACATTTTTTTAATTTAAACAAAATTTGGATTTAATGTTAAAGACAAAAAATACAGAAATTATTTTAATTATAATTTTAAAAGTTCTGAGTGTTCAAGTGAACGAAATTCATTTATTCCTTTTTCAAATTAATAAAAGATTAATTTAATTTTTATAGCGAAAATTTTGCGTCACTCACAAAAAAATTAATTTTCATTTTTTTAAAAGGTAAATGCAATCAACAGTATTTCATGAAAATATTTTCAATAAGAAATATTTCCTTTGAACATTCAGAACTTGATTATAATTACTTAATTGAAATTAACTAAATGAAATTTAAATTAAGTTAGATAAATAGTTTAAATAAAGTTAATTAAGTTAATTAAAATTATTTAAATTAAATTAATAAAAATATATGACATTAAGTTTATTAAATGAGAGTGAAAAATAAAATAAAAGTAAATAAAAATCTAAAAAAAATTATGCAAAATATTTTTTTCTCTTTAGAAAAATAATCAATCATGTACGGATTAATCCTGGAGAATTTGTCCGAGTACATCAGACAAGTGTACGGAGAAGATCGATGGGAGGAGATCCGCCGACTGGCGGCGGTCGAACAACCAAGTTTTAGTGTTCACCAGGTTTATCCTGAAAATCTCATTCCGAGATTGGCCAAAAAGGCAATTCAGGTAATTTGTTATTTTTACTGAACAATTCATTAAATGGAAAATTTCAAAGAAGAATTATTTCTGTAAGATTACGTGCTATCTGTGGACTATTAATCGGTTAAAAATTATGTAAAATTATATTAAAGATATTAAAAACAATTTTTTCTCGTTTTTTTAATTATAAATCTCAAAAAATTTTAAAAGGAAGCTAACATTCAATGTATGTATGTTCTCCAAAATTCAATTTTTTCCATTACTTTAATAAAAATCCGTGACTTTTCCCTGACCTGTGGCAACTCTGTTTTAATCAGTTTTTTTAGAGGGAAAAATAAAAAAAATTTCTTAATTTCAGGTTCTCGGAATAACCGAAAAGGAATTTTTCGACCAAATGGGCGTACATTTTGTCGGTTTTGTCAGTCAATATGGATACGATCGTGTTCTTTCGGTTCTGGGTAGGCATGTGAGAGATTTTTTGAATGGCCTAGACAATCTTCATGAGTATCTTAAGTTCTCCTATCCCCGAATGAGGGCGCCTTCTTTTATTTGCGAAAACGAGACTCGACAAGGTAAATTGTTTCTCTTCCTATTTCAGGATGTTTTTAATTTCTAATTTTAATTTCTAATAATTTAAAAAAAATTTTTAAATGATAACTTTTCTTTAAATTTACAGGTTTAACTCTACATTATAGAAGCAAACGTCGTGGTTTTGTTTATTACACAATGGGACAAATAAGAGAAGTTGCCCGTCATTTTTATCACAAGGAATTGAAAATTGAACTTGTACGTGAAGAGGTTTTATTTGACACGGTTCACGTTACGTTTCAATTGACCTTTGACAATCGAGCTTTTACATTAGCCTCTCTTGCCATGACTCGCGAAGAAAAACACCTGCCAATAGGAGCTTCTGTCTTATTTGAGATTTTTCCCTTTTGCATAGTCTTTGGGTACGTTTATGTGCGTTTTGCATTATAATTAGTAATTACACTTAATCACATACAATTATGCTAATCAGGAAACTCGACAGAAACTTTCTTTTACAATTTCTTTTTCTTTCCTTATTTTTTTCTTTTTTTAAAAATCATTTTATCTTTTTTTTCAAAGCGAGGAATTAAAAACAAACGAAAAATTATGCTCGATATCAATCAGCTCTTCCGTTTGAGGGAAGCTATTTTTAAATCGATTTCACACAAAACTATCATTTTCCCCGTTTGATTTCAGATCGGACATGGTTGTAAGGAGCATCGGTAATTCTTTAATGGTTATTCTACCCGACCTACTTGGCAAGAAAATTACCCACTGGTTTGACTTGGTGAGACCACTAATCGCCTTCAAGTTTCAATCGGTAAGCGCATTTTTTCAGAAAACTAATAATAACATATTTTCATTTTTTTTATTTCAACTATTTTAATTTAAAATTTTTATTTCTTCTTAATTTAGAATTTTAACTTCATTTTAATTTCAAATCATTATCTCATCTTAATATCGAATTTTAATTTAATTTCAAATTATAATTTCATCTTAATTTTGAATTTTAGTTTCCTCTAGAATTTTAATTTAATTTTCATTGAAGACTATTATTTAAAATTCTGTCTAATTTGATTTTACTTTAGATTCTAATTATAAATCCAAAAATACGAAAATCTAATTCTAAAAATAGAATGTCTTTATGTTTTAAATTAAATCTTAAAGAAATTTTTAATTGCAGGATATAAACTTTCTTAGGATCAAATAAATTTATTTCTTTTTTAGATTTTAAATAGAACAAACAACATTTTTGAATTGGTCTCAGTTGAGCCTGTTTTGACTGAACGACCATCTGACAGAAAAAATAATCACATTATGATGAGTGACGAGCATGATTCGCAGGACGATAAAACTCTTCGATTGAAAGGTAAACTACGAACATGTAATAAAAATTATGAAATTTTTGTTTCTGATAAATAATTTGGTAAAATTCAGTTTGAACATAATTCACAATTAATTAAAAAAATTAATTTTCTAAAATACGAAAAAAATTTATTTCATGTAGAGATTTTCAAGATTAAAAAAAATTAATAATTTCCTTATTTTTCAAATAAAGGTCAAATGATTTACATGGACAATTGGAAAATGATGATGTATCTAGGAACGCCTGTTATGCCTGATCTTAACGCTCTAATAGCTACTGGACTTTACATAAATGATCTCTCAATGCACGACTTCAGCAGGTATAAAATTCATCTGAGAATTGTCTTTAAAACTTTAAATCTTAATTACTTTTTAAGTTAAATAGAAAATGAATGCAAATAGATCATTGATAGTATCATTAATAGTATTTTTACTATTTTAAAGTAAATAAATTTTAAAATATAATTATGAAAAATAATTATCTTTACTTATTTAATGTAATTATTAAATTTAACTATCGAGGAAAAATATACCAATTAATGAAATTAATTCAATAGGGACCTAATGTTAGCTGGAACTCAACAATCAGTAGAACTAAAATTAGCATTGGATCAGGAGCAATTAAAAAGTAAAAAACTCGAGGAATCAATGAGAAAACTTGATGAAGAAATGCGACGAACTGACGAACTTCTGTATCAAATGATACCGAAACAAGTGGCCGATCGTTTGAGAAATGGAGAAAGTCCCATTGATACTTGCGAGGTATTTCCTACATAATTTTAATCTTTTTTTTCGATAATAATTTTGTTTATCTACTTTACTAATTATTTCTCCTCCCCCCTTCTCCTAGATGTTTGACAGTGTCTCAATTCTATTCTCGGATGTGGTTACTTTTACGGAAATTTGCAGTCGACTAACACCAATGGAAGTAGTGTCAATGTTGAATGGCATGTACTCACTATTTGACACTCTAACGGAACGAAATCGCGTGTATAAGGTATTCCTAGGTATATTCAGAACGTTTCTAAAAATAAATCTATATTACCAGCAGGGGGAATATATGTACGGAAATCAATTTAAAGAAAAATATCACGGAATATTAATTTTAATTTGAAAAGACAAATTCTCTATAGAGTTAAATGTTATTTTTGTATTTCCTCATTTCCAGAAATAATATAAACTACTTTCCTTATCCTGCTATAATAACTTCAATTTTCAATTTTTCTAAAACTCAATTATTTTCCAAACTCTTGGTTACAATTCTTGAAAAATACAATATTTCAAAATTATTTTTAAAAGAAAATCAAATTCTTTAAAAAAAAATGTTATTCTTTTAGATATAAAATTTTCAATAATTTTTGTAAAATTAATATTTAAATACTTATTTATTTTTCCAAAGGAATTACAAATTTATAGTATAATTTTAATGTCAAAACTTTGAAAATTTAATTATTCCTAAAAATTACAACTGCGATTCTATGAAAAAGCAAATGTTTTTTAGAATTTAAAATTAAATTATTCAAAAATTTAATGATTTTTCAGCAAAATAATAAACTAATTTCTTAAAATAAATATTTAAGTATCATCATACTTTTATAGCAATACAAATTTTCAGAGATTTCAATTTAAAAACTATTTAAAATTTAATTATTTCTAAAAATTATACAACTGATATCTTTCCAAAATTAAATTTTTTTAAAGTTTTAAAATAAAATTATTCAAAAGTTAAGAAATTTAAAAAAAAATATCTAATACTTAATTTTTTTTAAATTGCTACCATAACTTATTGAATATTCAATCAGTTTCTATAGTTTTAACTGAAATTCTTCTCTAAATCAATTGTCAATTATTTTTAAAAAAAATTTTCAGAAAATTCTTCTAGCATTCAATTATTTAATTATAAAAATTCAATTTTTTTTTAAATTGAAACAGTAAATTTCATTTTCTTTTAAAAAAATTTAATAATAAAAAATTCTTAAAATTATAGTTTCAAAGGAATATTTTTAACTAATTTTCGACAGACTTTTCAGTTACATATAACAATCGAATAATTTTAACATAATTGAAATTTAGTTTAACTTTTTGTAAATAATTGAATTTTTTAAAAGAATTTGTTGAAAATGTTAAAAAATAATTGTTTTCAAGGAATTCTAAATAGAACAAATATGAATAAGCATGATTTCTACAAAAATTTGTTACTATTTTACCAAATTAGATTTTTTAATAAATTTTAATTTCCTTTTTTCAAGAACTTTAAATTTTTAAACTTATGATAAAATATTGTAATTCAATATTTTGACAATATTTCAATTTCATAAAAGAATTTTTGGACATTTCACAAAAACAATTTTTTTGAAGAGTTTTATTAAAAATTTGGAAATTAATTGATTATTTTTATAATTCTAAAACATTAAATTTTTAAAAATATTTTTAAGTAGTTCATTTTTGTGGTATCAAATTTTAATTAATCGAAAGTTTTTTAATTCGATAATATATGCAAAGTTTTAACTAATTTAAAAAATATAATTTAAAATTTTCCAAATACTAAGTTCTTTAAAATTTTTAATTCATTCATTATTCAAATTTTCAAAAATTTTAATATTAAAACTTAAAAGTTTAATTATTTCCAATAATTTTTACTATGACGCTTTTAATAGTGAATTATTTTGTAAAATTTTAACTGAAATTCTTCTTCAATCAATTCTAATCAGAAAGATCGACGAGAATTTAATTATTTAGATACAAAAATAAATAATTGATAAAATTATTTCTAAAAAATGTTGATAGTTGAATATTATATCACTTGAAAATATGTTTTGAAACTTGGTTCGAAATAATGTTTTGAAAGTACTTGAAAAAAGATAAAAATGGTTCAAAATAGTTAATAATTTTGTCCAAAATTCCCGACTAAAATAATTTTTAGAGATTTAACATTTTTCACCAATTGAAAAATATAGTAGACTTTAGTGATGTCTTGCACTTTGCCTCTATTGCTATCAATAGCATTTGCTTATTTATTACTATAGCAATGCTTTTGTATTTTTGTAAATCCTCAAATGGAGATGTTTGTTACGTTCAGTTTAAACAAGACTTTTTTATAACTTACCACCAGCTGCACTTCTGCAATCTTTGCTTCCTAGTTCTGGTACTAATATAGAAATTCAGCATCCTCCTGAAATTAAAATATTAGAATATTATTCACTATTTGTAAATAAATTGAAAATCAGAAAGGCGAACAGATCAAGAAGAGTTAAAATTTATTATTTATAAATTTACCATAAATTATAATAGAAATAAAAATATTACCTCTCTGCGATTTCAGGTTGAAACAATCGGCGATGCTTATATGGTGGTGTCAGGAGCTCCAGTGAAGGAGAATGACCATGCGGACCGAGTTTGTGACATGGCTCTCGACATGGTCGAAGCGATAACTGACCTGAAAGATCGTTCAACAGGTTAATATTAATTTTTCAAGTATTTTAAAATGATTTTTAAAAAATAGAACTACTAAAGAATTTTCTTTAGTATACTATAATTTTTTAACTAGTAAGTTAAACATTTTTTAAATGTTTTAAATATTTTAAATTGAATTGTAGGTGAACATCTACAGATAAGAATCGGTATTCATAGTGGAGCTGTTGTAGCCGGAATAGTAGGTCTAAAAATGCCTCGCTATTGTCTTTTCGGCGACTCTGTAAACACGGCATCAAGAATGGAGGCAACTAGTGAGGCAATGCAAATACATATTTCTGAATCAACTAAAGAACTTTTGTCGCCCTCGTACAAAGTCAAGAAACGGGGAGAAATTCAAGTTAAAGGAAAAGGTAATTTCTTAAAGATTTCTTAGGTTTATTGTAATTAGAAAAATTATAGATAACTTAAACTCAAAATTTAAGGTACAATGAAAACTTACTGGTTGGAGAAAAGGGAATCACGATCGGTTACAACGAAAGGAATTTCAATTCAGGAGCCACCACAATGGCTCAGCAAGGCCTCGGAAAAGCGACTTTCCTCTGTCAGTATTACAGATATTCAAAGAAATTGCACAGAACCATCGTCGAGAAGGGAATCACGACTATCGTCACCGGTTCCACAGGGATCACCTAGCCTAATCCCGGAGGAGAGGAGAATTTATTCACCCGTTACTTTTCAGGACGTTGCTCGACGCTCTGTCGCTAATTCGCCTACAAAAAATAACGATATGAGAGGTTTTTATTCCCATCAAGATTTATATTCACTTATTTTCATTGCCTTTTCTACTAAAAATTATAATTTTAATTCTACTGCAATTATAATTCTGAATCCATAAATTATTTTCTAGAGACGCGGTCCAATTCGGTGGGAGCTGTTTCAATTTCCTTTCGAAATCCCACAGACGTTTTTGGATCACTACTCAGCGATACAGAGGAGCATTTTAGATTACATAGAAATAGTCTTTCGATTCATGGACAATCGACGGGAGTACACGTGAAACCGGAAGTAAAAGTTAGTGCCGATACGAGTTCATCATCGGATGATGCAACATCATCAGCAAAAATAATGGACGCAACAAGTAATGAATGTTCAACTGCTGCTGAAAGCGATATCAGTAATTCACAACTTCTCGTTAAAGAGGGACAATGTTGTCCAGGATTTGCTATGACAAAAAGTGGCAAAATCCGTCATCCAAATAATAATTGTGTCATTTCATAAATGAAAGCTTAGATTTTAATTATTTATGTGACATTGAATTGAAATTTTCATATCAAAGGGAAATTTCGGAATTCGAATTTAAACAAGAACTATCCATTTTTACATTTCTTGAAGTCTCCTCAAAAAATGAGTTCGTTTCTTTTATTCTCATAATAACTAGTCAATAATTTTTATAGTGTCATCTACAAAAGAACGTATCATTGTTATTTAAATATAAGTGTTTAGAAAAAAAAAAATGCAACACTATCGAGATTGCAATTTCACGAAAAAATGAACAATAATAATGAAATCAAATAAAAACTTACAGTATAAAGAGACAAATTCTATTTTGAATGCAAACAAAATTAATTTTAGTTCGATACGGACAATAAAATAAAAACAAAATATTTACAGTTGGCGCCTGAAAAGTCTTAAATAATAGAATTGAAAATTTAGTTTTTAACAAATGTCTCACTATTCTAATTAGTAAAATAATCTACTATATATTCTTTATTCTGTAAAAAATTTGAAATTCTATATTAAAAAATATACGTATTTTTGAATATATTAATATCTATAAATAATATATAAATTTATTTAAATGATATACAAATATATTTAAACGATATATAAATATATTTAAATATGTAAATTTATTTAAATAATACATAAATTTATTTAAATAAAAAAAAATAATACGTGTGACAAATAATATTTAACGAGAGAAAAATGTTTTTAAAATATTTAAAATCAAACGACTATTTATTGTATTAATGACGACTGAAATATCAAAATAAAACAAAAAATATATATACAATTTATCATATTAAAATCAAGTGCGCGTTTCACTTATTAAATGTCATATCAAAAAAATGATAAATATCTAAGTATACGTTTAATAGTCAATAAATTTTTCACGAGGAAATTACAAATAAAAAAATCTACTTCAAATTACATAAATTTTGTCGAAAATTAATTATTATCGATAAAAAAACAAAATTTTCAATTTTTCAGTATCGTTTTGCAATTAATTGTCACGATTTTAATTAAAGAACGGTATTACGTAACCTACGTTATTTAAAAATTCAAAGCAAGGCATAGAGATCTCAAAATTTAATTTCTAAAAATATTTCAATTTTTATTTTAAATATTTTTTATTGTAGAAAATGTTTTCTATTTTTAGAAAAAAAAATGTTTTTTTCTGTGTGATGTAAATTTAATTTCAGTTTTTATTTTTATGTAAACATTTAGAAATGAAATTTCGATAATTAATACCAAGAGCCGGGAATTGGAAATTTATATAAATTTTGACTTTAAGAAAAAAAATAGATACATAGTAATTGTTAAAGAATAAGTATTGTATTTTCTTCGATTAAAGACGCAAATGAATGATAATTTTCTAAGTTAATATCAACCTGATTTCCTTTCTCACGACCAATTATTCAATATTCTTTTATATTATTAATAATATTATTAATATTAATATTATTATTATTATTAACATAATTTTTAGCAACAATTGCATTATTATTATATTTTTTGATTATCTACAAAAATTGTAAGTGACAAAGAAGTAAAATATGAAAAATCACTCAATCTCACTTTTCCGTCTGACTAAAATTTCTCTTTTCTACTTAAAATCGTTACTATCCTCTTATGAACACTTTCAATGAAGAAATAAATTCTTTATAGTAAAAGTAGAATTTTATGATTTCAGATACTTGTAAGAATGTAAAAAAAATGTTTAAAATATTTCGAAAATGGTCGAAATTAATTTTTTTTAAGATTAAATTATTAAAAATTAATTCTAATAAAGAAAAAATATTGATTTTAAATAATGCCAGAAAAAAAATTATTGCACCTTTACAACTTAAACATCGAAAAATTGAAATTTTATTAGTACCGCACGTTCAAGAGAATATAAAAAATTTATCTTTAGTTTCATTATCAGCTTTTATTAATTTTATTTCTCTTGAGAATGACAAACGTTTACCAATTAACTTATTACCGATTAAAAAATTAATTAGTGTACTCTTGCCAGATCTTGCAATGCCTATGCAAATTGCCGCATCTTCATCTCCAACTTCACGTTTCATATATTCAACCGTGTTTTTAAGAGATTCTTGTAAATCTAAAACTTCTTTGTCCTTAAGATAACATTCTTTGCTATTGACCAGCGTAATTATTAAACAGACAATTACTTTTCTGAACATGACTGATAAATTACAATATTTCTTGATAAGAATAATGTAATAATTCAGTTGAATCGTATTCCTGCTGATATTCTATACCCTAAATAAAGTGTAGTATAAAAGTTCATAAAACAGCTTATTTTTACAAATTACAATTATAATAACGAGCAATTAAAAAGAAGCTTTAAAAAAACAAATTTGAAAAATTTTCGGTTATAAGATTCTTTTTGTAAGAAGGTGATGATAGCTATCCGGAGTCAAAATTTATAAACTATTTTAGAACAGAAAGCATTCCAACTATTTTGTTTTGCTTTCCGTTAATTTCATTTCAGTAGTCCCTCATTTAACCCTTTAACGCCTGCAGGACATATATGTCTCACTTACAAAAACCACTGTAACTTTTTTAAATATTAATATTTTTTAATCGGAGTTGATTTCATTTCTTTCGAAATCCGTCAAGGTACCAAAAAAAAATAAAAGTAAACTACAGAACAAATTTTTAATATAAAAAAATAATGAAAAGTTTATGCAAATAGGAAAAATTGTTTTAAAAAGTCGGTTAGCTCATGTGCAAATGCTAGTGTCAAAATTTTTTTTGAAGCACACTATCTAAAGTGTATTGACCCAAGCACCCTTACTATTAAAGGATTATTTGGGTCGCTGATTACGAATCTGAAGTCAGTTTTGCAAAATACAAATTGGCGGGTACATTCTTCAAAAATCGTACTTTTTTGCTTGAAAGTTGTTACTTAGGAGTTTTTGGGGTCGCTGATTACGAATCTGAAGTCAATTTTGCAAAATTTAAAATGGCGGTTCCAATATAGCAGAAATAAATTCAATATTTAAAATATTTTGCTTAATATTTACTACTTGTGGGTTTTTTTCGGTCGCTGATTACGAATTGGAAGATAATTTTAAAAAAATAAAAATGTCGGATCCAATATGGCGGATTCATTTTTTAAAAATCGTACTATTTTGCTTAAAAGTTACTTCTTACAATTAGGGGTTTTTGGGGTCGCTGATTACGAATATTTAGTCAGTTTTGCAAAATAAAAATTGGCAGTTCTAATATGGTTTTAAACGTCTATGCCTATGTAGGTGGATAATTAATTCACTTCAAATTTTTAATTGAAAATTTTTTACAATCGATTCCATTGGATAGTCGATTGATTATATTATTGCTTGTTTTTTTACTAAACTATTAGTAAAGTTCTACTAATTAAAAACAACAATGCATTCACTAATTAAAATTATTTAAAATTTCTACTAATTTTGATTTAGAAAGTATAAATTTGTATAAATTAAAAAATTTATTTTCCTTATAGCACCCGCTATTTGTAATTTTCAATGGATCAGCATACCGTTTATTTTTTCACCATTTAGTAATTTTAAATCACATAAAAGACTTTTATGCTTTATTTAAAGTTATGCTAAATTAATTTTTTTATGTTTATTTAACTTAATTTTGCACTTTAGTATTAATTTAGAATTAAAAAGTTTTTTTTGAATCCGCCATAATGGATCCGCCATTTTTATTTTTTAAAAATTAACATCCAATTCGTAATCAGCGACCGAAAAAACCCCCAAGTTGTAAATATTGAGCAAAATATTTAAAATATTAAATTTATTTCCGACACATTGGATCCGCCATTTTGAATTTTGTAAAACTGACATCAGATTCGTAATCAGCGACCTAAATAACCCTTTAAAAGTAAGTTTCGCAGAGATTGACAAAAATTTATATTTTTCGGCCATATTGGATCGGCCATTTTGAAATTTCTCAAATGTCAATAAGGATAAATAATGTACGCATAAAGAGGTATGTTTAGTGTAAAAAATAAACTACTTTTACTATTAAATTCATATTTTTTAGCAAAGTGTAGAATTTTTTTATGCTTGAAAAATTACAAATTGGAATATGTAGTTACTTTTGCCGTATGGCTTTTTTTAATTAACAATTTTTATAAGTCAATATACACAGAAAAATGTAATGTAATTTTTAGATAGGGATAACTGCTGCACCATAAGGTACAGATAATACCCCAAAAATGTTTCCATGTGGAGTTATAAATAAATAAATGCTAACAAACAAAATAAATAAATTGTTTCAAAATTTTCAAATTTGATCAGATTCGCTTAACATTTGTTACTCGGGGTTTTTGGGATCGCTAATTACGAATCTGAAGTCATTTTTTAGAAATTAAAAATGGCTGATCCAAAATGGCGGACAAATTTTCAAATTTGTTTAGATTCGCTTAAAACTTGTTACTTAAAACAAAGTAGTTGGAGTGCTTTCTGTTCCTAAAAATTTCAATAGAAAACTTGTAGATAGTTTTTACAGTAAATTTTGACTCTAATTTATATTTAATACTAAAGTAGTCAACATGCTTACGCTATTGGTGTGAATTGAAATCGTGGAGTTAATAAATAGGTTCAATTGGACAAAATCTACTCTTGAAGTATTTATCTACCACTTTATGCAAATGCGCAAAAGACTTGACTAAACGTTTTCAAATACTTTTCAAGGTTTAATATTTTATTATATTTAATACTTCATATTGTACATTTTCAATATCACTGGACTTTATATTCTGTTAGCCAATAGAAAAAACTATATCCATTTCTTTTTAATCTTTTTTATAGTACAGATACAAAGAAAAAATATTGCTTAGCAATGAAAAGAACACAACAAATTTTTTTCCCAATGAAAATTTTTTTCAAAAATAATGCTACTATGCAAAATTAGATTCTATAATGAAATATGCAAATTAGATTGAGAGAAATATTCTTATGTCAATTATGAAACAGATACGTTAGATTTAAACAAAGAAATTTTAAGAAAGAAAAAATTGAAATTGGTCGCGAAAGAATATTTGGAGAAAAATTTCATATTTGTGTGTGGTATATGATAGCTATCACCTAGTTCATGAGCTTAACACCAGATTATATATACTTTTCAAGAAAACTCCACCCATACGGAACATAGTGGACAATGGCCTTTGGTATCTCAGGAACTAAACATTTTTCAAGATAAAGACTATACACATTGTTCCACTAGCTTCCACCTACGTCTTGACACAGCAAGAAAATATATAGGAGGAGAGAAATAAAAATGTCAACTTTTTATTTTCAAAGTCGAAAACAATCTACAGTTAATGCTGACTTCGAGATATAGAAAAAAAAAACTTTACTCGTAACAAATTTTTTAGTTTTCTCACTTCTATTTATCCTCATTTTTTCGATTTTTATAAAATAAAGTAATAAATTTTTTTTCGTTCATTCGGAATGGATTTTTTATATATAAGTAGAAAAAGAAAAGCA